ATTTAACCGTCCAGATATATTTTCTTATTTAGTTATTATTCTATTTAAACCCAATCCCAAAAGCTTATATATATATATATATATATATATATATATCCAATTAAAATTAAACAAGATTCACACATAAAAAACCCGCACTATTATCATCCCGGTCATTTTGTTTACTTTATAATCGACGTATCGCTTGGACGATATAAACAAGTGGTGGTGTCCGATTGGGTCGCCATCTTGAACGAATACGACATTAAATATTATTATTATTATTATTATTAAAGCGGGTTGCCTTTCAAAATAAATAAATAAATAGGGATGGACAAGAATGCCCCTGGGGTGGGAAGGACAAGAGAATTGAAGGTTAATTATGGTTATTGAAAAATTGAAAGTGCGGGTACAAAAAGGTATCTTTCCATCCACCGACCACCGACCGACCTTCCCTCCATTTTTATTATTTTATTATTATTTATTATTTATTAATTAGGAATTTGACGATAATAACAACCGTAATAATAAGAGACGTCAATACTAATAACAAGTCAACTGTGTTCTCCAATTTAAGTCAAGAAATTTATCAAAACATATAAAAAATCAGATATATTCAAGAAAAAGGTTTTAATAAAAATTATAGATATTTTGAAAGGACGAAAAAAATAAATAAAGAGTGTGTTAGGTTTATATGATAACAATAATTAAATAAGAGGTTGTTTAGTAATTGCTGAATGATATAGTGCAGAATGATTAAGTGGTCAGAATGATTAAGAGACTCTCATGATAAAGTGTGTACAATGAAATTAGGGCTCTTAATGGTTAAGGGTCATCCAGGATATAAAACCATTCAGAGGGTTTTAGAACCATTAAAAGACAAACTTTTTTTTTGTCAAACAAGATTCATCTCTTAACGGTTCAGAAGTTGCCTCTTAATGGAACTATTAAAAGGTAAACAAAGAACCCCTAAGAGAATAATAAAACAACCGATTCATATGTGACTTTACATTAAAATCGATATGTGAGGTGATGGGCAATGTTGCCCGTATACCTTTGCGTTGAACCTCAGTGTAAAATCATATATGATTTATAAGTGAATTTGACTGTTTTTTTGTTCTTTTATTTGATTATTATTCTTGTTTGAACCCTAACCCCTATCTTTCTATATATATTATCGAAATATGTATATATATATATATATATATATATATATATTATCATATTCATCAATATATGTGTATTATATATGCAAGTGTGTGTATATTTAAAATTTCACATTAAAACATATATATGGTTGGGTACATGTGAAAATCAACATGTTTTCGTGAGACCTGTAAGACCATATTTTTACACTTGAAACTTCAGAATAGAACACTGTGAAGGTAAAAAAAAAAAAAAAAACTGACCCCTCACAGGGAAAACAGTGTGAATGTTACATTTACAATGTTTTCTTGTGAAATTTCAAGTGCAAAAAAGTGGTTTCACGGTCTCATGAAAACAGTCTGGTCTCACATTATCACAAGTCTATACGTGCGCACACGCACACACACATTGGTGCATATCAGGTGCAGACCCAACAAGGTTTCGTGTATAATTTTTTGGATAAAAAGTGTACATGCTAAACTTTGAAGTGTGCATGAATATTAGTAAATACAAAAAAAAAAATATCAACCAAAAACGTAAAAGTCATTCAAAATCAACAAAAAAAACTAAAAAAATTCCTCGAAAGCAATCAAAATCTTATAAAGAATACCTCAAAGGGAAATTACCAAAATAACCAATTTATATATCGTACACTAACAAAATGATCAATTTTAAGATTTTTTTCCACAAAATGACCACAGGGGCGATTTTGGAATTTGAGGTACGGATGAATCTCACATGCATACCATTTGGTGGACAAAAATCTGAATTTTTTATCATTTTATACAAAATCGCCTTTTACTATTACAAATCGCCCCCGGGGAGCGATTTTAACTGTTATTCCGTCCTGTAATGAAGACAGTTTATGACACAACTTTTTGGTTGATTTAACAACTTAATGACGACGTGACTAGATATAGGGGGTGATTGTACATGTTATTTTGCCTTAGTACGAGATGATTTTGTTTAAAATGTCCATAGGAGGGGAGTATTTCATCACCATTTATCGTCTCGAACGAATCGCCACTTTTAACATACACATAACCATTCTCAGTTGACGTGATTTCATATTTGTGTTAAGAATTGTGATGATATATTGTGTTTAACGGTTAAGGGTTGTGAGAGTAAAAATGTTTGTATTGCTACATTTTTATATAGATACTACATGAATTGTATATACTGCATTTGGTCCTAAAAAAACAAAATACAAATGAAAATCGCCGCCAATGTCTGGTCATGTCGTCATTGAGTTGTCAAATCAACCAAAAAGTTACGTAATATAATGTTTTCGCTACAGGATGAAATAACAGTCAAAATCGTCCCCAGGGGCGATTTGCAGTAGTAAAGGGCAAATATGTATAAAATGATTAAAATAATCAGATTTTTGACTCCCAAATGGTGTGCATATGGGATCCATCCGTACCCTCAAACCCCAAATCGCCCCCCATAAATTAAATTGGCTCTCCGAGGGCGACTTTTGTAAAAACAAATCTGAAAGTTGATCATTTTGTTAGTGTACCATGTATAAATTGGTTATTTTGGATAATTTTCCTACCTCAAAACGGCGGAATTCAGCTAAAAATAAATCAAGCGACTTTACGATCTTTTCATCCATTTTTAGGGTAAATGAAAATTTGTACATCTGTTTCTAACTTTAAGCTAATTATTTTCATGGTATGATAAGTGGTAGACCTATGATTTTTAATGAACAGATGCATCTTTAAGGTGGATCAAAGGCTCGTGAAGTCATCGGTGTGTTTTTTAAGCAAATTACACCGTTTCAAATAATTTTAATGTTTTTTGGTTGATGTCAAGTATTTTTTTTTTCAAGTTTTTCGTGTTTTCAAGCGATTATTTTTAAGTTTTTGGTTGATTTCAATGAAAGTTTTTCGGATTTTGTGGTTGATTTCGAGTAGAGATGGCCAAATCGGCCCGGCCCTGGACCGCCAGAGGACCGACCGGGACCCGTTATGGGACCGACTATGGACCGGTCTGGCCCGGCCCGAAAATTCAAATAATTTTATAAATAAATGTATTTTTAAATAATTTTATAATGTATTTTTATAAGAAAACGTAATTTTAATTATATTAAAACGTATTTTTAAATTGTATTTGAGTGACCCAATTGTAAATTTTATAATGTATTAAAAATATATATCATTAAAAAAATAAAATAAAAAAATCTTATTTTTTAATGGAAGGACCGGTTGGGACCGGGACCGCCGACCCATAACCGGTTATGAAGTACCTTGACCGGTCCTATCATTTTCGACCGGGACCGGGACCGGTTACGCTGGGACCGGTTATGGCCGGTTATGAAAAAGGTTAGGATCGAATGGGACCGGCCAGGCCCAGGACCGGTTTTTGGCCATCTCTAATTTCGAGTGTCGTTTTTTTTTGTTGATGTCTGTTATATTTTCTAATATCATGTAGTACTGCTCAAGTCTAGCGGACACACCTTTTATATCAAAAAAAATATCTACTTGTGACAATCGGTTGAACGGGTGTATGGGACTCCGCTCAACAACTCATAGGTCCGCCCTTCGGCGTGATTGTATTATTTACTTGATTCTGTAATGATTATTGAAATCTTGATAATTAGTTTGAAACGAACGTCAATGAAAAATTATTTGGTCGGTTTGTTAGCCCTTTTACATTATTGTAGTATGACTTCAGTTTTAGTTTTAAGTTACTGGTTTTAATTTTGAACTTAACTGATTAATCTCTTCATTGAATAAAACTGATCAATAATTTAGGGATATGATTTACGCCACATAAAGTGCAATTCTGTTGCCCTCTCGTAAAACCATACCCCTATTACATCTGATACAAAAACCGTCTAACTGATATCTATCTTCATTTCTACTGTCAATTATAGCGTGTTTCTGTACGAATAAAAAAACGCTAGTTCACAACTTTCTGTAAAATACCACGATAAAAAAGTTTGGTAAGTTATCTTTTTTTGCTGATTGTGATTTGTGAGTTCTGTTGAATAATTCTAAAGTTAATATAATTGGTACTATTATAAAGTGTCACTGATATTCTTTTTATTCAAATATGTGACTGATATGGTTATAAAGTATAAACATGTAACTGATTTTTATTTATTTTTCCAAATTTATAATTGAAAAATATAAAAATTAGATAACGCATTTATCTCATCAATCACCCGTATTCAAATATTTATAAAATTAAATTGTCAATTTATACAATGCCATTCAAATTGACGAAACTTGAAGTTATAAACGAGATTAATGTCATCATCACCATTAAACTTGATGGTATTATATAATTTAGATGTAATTTCGTAATGATAATAAATAAATATGTGAAATTATATAGTTTTTATTTTATTTTATAAATTCAACAATATAATTTTTTAATGAGTAAAATATATAATTTAAACAAATATAAACGTTTATCAGTTTACAAAAACAAACAGTCTTATTGATTCATACTTCAGACTTCAGCACCATCTCTTATAAATCAGAAGTAAAATAAAACTTCAAATTTCAATACATTTTAAAAAACAAACGTCACCTTAACGTTACACACATAAAACACATGTTATTTCATATACCAAACAACATATGAAACATACAATGTTGTTCATATATAAAATGTTCCCATCTATTTTTTTACATTTTTATATAAACACAAAAAGTTAAAATATATAAAACAATATAAATAAAGCAATTTTTATTATCATTTTTTATTAAATAATAATTATATATATATATATATATATATATATATATATACATACATACATATACGTATATCTATATATTGGTATCTGGCGATTGTTTATATATTATCCCTACCTCTCATCCATCCCCACCAACACACAACCCCTCTTGCTCATCTGTCAGTAGACCCAAATTTTGAATTAAGAATCCCCCACCTCCATAAAACCATGGCGGCCAATTAACCCTTTTTTTCAATTAATTTCATTATTTATATACACGCCGAGCTGTATATATACACACACACAGACATCAACAGGGAATTTTATAAAAGGTGTCGGTGCTTTTGGATTATCTTTTCGTCTGCCGATTTCCCCCTTTCCTCACTTTCTACCCTTTTCTCTCTCTCTCTCTCTCTCTCTCTCTCTCTCTCTCTCAATCGCTGAAACAGAGATCGATGGACGGGAGGAGAGCTGCCGGAGGCGGAGGTGGCGGGGGCGGCGGAGGTGGTGGTGGAAGGAAGAATGATCAAAGGCCTTACAAAGGAATAAGGATGAGAAAGTGGGGAAAGTGGGTGGCGGAAATTAGGGAACCGAATAAGCGGTCAAGGATTTGGTTAGGTTCGTATTCCACCCCTGTTGCGGCGGCGAGAGCGTACGACACCGCCGTGTACTACCTCCGTGGGCCGTCGGCGAGGCTGAATTTCCCGGAATTGTTGGCTTCCGATGGGGTTTTGGGGGAGTTGTCGGCGGCGTCGATACGGAAGAAAGCGATTGAGGTTGGGGCGAGAGTGGATGCAGAGACGAGTTGTACGTCGTTGCATATGGGTGGTACGCGAGAGCACCGTGAACCGACTTCTGAATTGAAGCCTTGTTGGTTTCAGGAGAAACCCGACTTGAATAAGAAACCCGAACCCGAAGACCCGGAGGGAGATTATTGGTGAGAATGACGATGATGACCTTTTTGGTTTTGTAGGGATTTATAAGAGTTGGAGGGTAATTCAGTAATTCACTTAAGGTCCCCCGGGTAATTTGGAGCAAGAAAGTATTTTTATTTTTATTTTTATTTTTTTTAATTTTATGTATTATCTATTTCTATCTTGGAAACAGATGAAACAAGTTTTGATGTTTACAAGGAAAATAATGTACATACGATGTTGTTGTTCTTCACGTTTTCGCCTTCCTTTCTGTTGGGTCGATTGTTTTCATTTATTTATTATTTTATCTTAATATTAAAAAAAAATTATTAACCCGGATATCCAACCTATTTATGCGAGTCGACTAATATCAAGACGACCACATGTTTTGCAGATAGTTCGGAGTCACCGTATTTGAACCTTCGTGGTCATAAAAGTTCGTTTTAATTTTTAAATAATAAATAATTATTGAAGAATTAAATGGAGAAAAAAATTATCTCAAAAAACTTGAGTTTTCCATGGAAAAATTGGTTTAATTGAATCTTTTAAATGTCATTTTTGTTTTTTTTAAGACACACCATTTTATTAGAGCATAAAGGAAAGTACAGAAACAAACGGGTGCAAAACGAGGCTAAACCGAGCCAACTCAAATAAAAATTAACAAAACGGACAATGGTTGCTAAGATCATCGAGGACCGAAACCGAGATGCCAGCGATCGAAAGACTCACGACACAAAAAAGGATGTCAAAAATGGTGCAATGATTCTAAGGCTAAGTGATGAACAACCTTTCTGAATTCTTCACGAGATCCGATCTTAAGATCTAGTTTTTTATATATTAGTTACTTCACTTCCATTAGTGACGATTTATATTAAAATTGCACAAAGTATATGTGATATAATTCTAAAATTACAAAATAAATAGGTTTTAACCAAAATTTGTAGGGTACAAAATAAAATATGTAGAAAATAAATCCAATTGTTTAAGGATGGTGTTTTGCCTCGACCCGAATGGAGACAGGGATTTCCCGCTAAAACGGGTCCCATGGCTGGGGATTTACGGTAGACTCAAACCGGGGCTGTGGATCCTCGTTAGACTCGAATTAACAAATATTCTTTATGAGGTTTGACCGGGTTTTGACCGCGGACGGGATGTTAATCCCCGTACCCGCTGGAGGCCGAGGGTTGTTACTAAAAACTGGGGCCGGGGTCGGGAATTACAAAACCCGCTCTATCCCCACCCCATTGTCATGTCGACAATTGTTGCATTATAAATATATAATATGGGAACATGTATTAAAAGTGGGAAAAGGTACATATGCATGTCCTTAACCTCGGGCATTTGTAACATGTGCGTGTGTATATAATATATACGATACAATATATATGGTTTATTTTTCAGGTTTTTAATAAAATAATAGTAATTTATTTTTAGACGATAGTATATTTATTAATTTATTAAGAAAATTACAAAAACGATGAATTTAATTTAAAATATAAAACAATCAAACACACACACACATTTGTATATATCAAGAGAGAGATATGGTTCACATTTTTTATAAACCAAATAATTTGAGTAAAATTTTATACACCTGTTTTTTTTATTAACCTGGATATCTAACCCGCTATTCGAGCCGATTAATCCCACGACGACCACCTACTTTGTAGATAGCCCGAAGTCACCGTATTTGAACCTCCATGGCCACAAGAGGATTTTTATTTCTCATTGGATTTAAACCCTAAACCCTGGTACTTTTAACCTTTGGAGTCAAACTCAAACCAATCAGACACCATCCTTATGGTTAAAATGAAACAATACGTATTAAACTGCAACATTTTTGTAGTGTTATTTTGAAGGTAAAATGTTTTAAGGTTTTTTTTTTACATATAAAATAGTATCAAACATTTCATACATGAAACAACATTAAATAGGTATGGGTTCTAGGTTCAAACGAGAACATGCATGTTTTACGAAAATGAGAGAACATTTTTGGGCCTATGGATCAATTAACCCATAATAAAAATTAGAACGAGTTAAAAAAATTGTATCTATCAACAATTTATGGTTATCTTAGATTTATCTTTATCCTTTAAATGTTGTTAGTATCATCGAATACTTCTTATGTCGATAATCATAAATCATGTGATAGTGACGTGATTTTGCTGATGGGATAATGTTTTAACAGATCAAAAATTTCTTATGATGTGATTTTTAATGTAATAATGATATTATTTGTTGTGATAATTATATGACGTATCGAAAACCAGTGATGATCACGTCCACAATTATCTGTTCATTACGTGATTTGAAACTTTTTTCCAATTTACCTTTGCATGCCTTTGATATTCCTAAAAAAGGGTAAATATTGATTTTAATATTTTACTGTTCCCTCAATCCTCTAAAACTATGTCTTAAAACAGAATGATAAGCTTACAAGTGTTATCGTATTTGCATAAATCAAATGCGTTCTCATTGGAACCATTCCCACATTGTATAAACACGTCATTTTGTACCTGTTGTTTTATATGTGAAACATGAAAACCAATTTGCAACTTGTTAGTTCATATGATTTAGAGTAAATTACATTTTTAGTCCTTATGGTTTGTTGGAAAATTTTATTTTCATCCCTATAGTTTCAAATTTTCTCTTTTCATCCCTATAGTTTGTATTTCATTACCTTTTTTTGTTCTTATGATTTAAAATTTGTCGCTTTTATATTTTAGCTCTTCATATTTAAAAGTAGTGTTTTGAAATCAAGGACAAAAACAGAAATAAATTGCAAATCATAGGAATGAAAACCAAAGTTTTAAAACCACAAGAACTAAATCCACAATTTTTAACAAACCATAGAGACAAAAAAACGTAATTTACTCTATGATTTATTGAGTCTGCAAGTGATTTTGTATATATAATGTATACAACAGTATATAAGTATGGGTTGGGTTCTGGGAGAAATGAAAATTATAGTGAGAATCGTAAGAAAAGATCTTCACCTTAAACTCAATTTTAATTGAATGTCAAAACTAATGAGATCATCAGGTCAATTCCCTTTTAACATGCAATTCATGGGTGAGCGTAAGATTAAAAGCCATTAAGGGATCAGATATATTCTTATACTTTTTATCATAACTTCTCTTCTCACACGATCATTCGCTATATAAATATATATTATATATATATATTTATCTGATATAATATATAGTAAAATATAAAACACGATTATACAAATAGCTTGTTACCTTGTAGATATTTAAATATTTGGGCACGACAAAATCACATTAAGCGACAACTTACTTTGTGGCTTCCAACTATGATTGGGAAGATTACCCTTTTTTTTTATTATTATTAAAATTTAATCAAACCTGTTTTAATTTATTAATAACTATTATAAAATATTAAAATCACAATACTTTGAATACAACGTGTCAATAAAATATGTAGAGTTATGAAATAATATAAGTAAAAATAAAACGTGAATTTAACACAAATTTATAAAACATTAATCATAAGTATTTCATATAGTTAACCATAAGAGTGATGTCTGGTTGGTTTGAATTTGGGCTCAAAAGATCAAAAGTGTCTGGAGATCCCAGATACAAATCTAAGGAGAAATAAAAATCTTCTTGTGAACACGGAGATCCAAATGGGTGATTCCGGGCTACCCTACAAAACAAGTGGTCGTCCTGGAGGTTAATTAACAAAAAGTATTTCATATAGTTATATGTGAAATGGATTATTTTTGGTAATAAAACCAATTATATCATCAATATAATAATCGATTGTTCATACAAAATATTTAATTTATGATATGCAAAGACTTTAAAGTATAACATTTGAATATTTTATCGTATTTTTAGAGTACGTTTAGGGGCCGTTTACCTAAATGTTTATCCGGTAAGTGTTTAACGTTAATAATCAATACTATAATTTATTTTATTGGGTAAGATTGTAGTACATCAAAACGTATCATATACAATAATTTACCTGGTAAAAGCTTATCCGGGTAAGAGTCTCGCCCTCACTTACCGAGTAAGACTCTCCATCCTTATCATCGTTCTTACCGGGTAAGATTCTTAGCCCTTGTCATGTTCATCCAGTGAGGAAAATTACCCGGTAAGTACTTATCGCGTAAGCGTTTAGTAAACGGCCCCTTAGTTCGTATAATGGATTTTGGTGGAATTGAAATCTATCAAAGAAATTTGATTTTAAATGAATTAAATGAAATTTGACCATGCGTTTGGTCGGTAGAAATTCAAATACAATCTCTCAAATGAATTGAAATCTCAATCTTCGTTTGATTCAAAATTAAAATGAAATAACAATAAATAACCAAAATACCCGTTTTTGACATTTTCGTACTTTTTTAGAGGTGGGATTGGTTAAATTGGATGCAAATGTTATTTCTGTGTTTATAAAATCAAATTATCAAATCCATTACATTTGATAAAGAATGAAATTCAGTTCATTTACCTTTGCTGAGGAATGATGAAATCATTAATACATGAAATCTACAGGAATTTAAAAGGATTCTGTTCGTTTCAAAAAGGTGAATTAAACAAATAAAATAAAATAAAATTATAACGGTTTTATCATGTATAAAATGGGAAAAATTGCATCGAATGCAAACAACTTTGTTTTTTCATATTTGAGAGAACTGAATTTTGAAAATTCTTACCTTTAGGATCGAAATGCAACAAACTTTGTTTTCGCTCTTATTTTTTGAACATAAAATTAATTATTCAGAGATGGAATGAGCGTGTTGTTTTAATCTAGAGATCCGTTTTAGACGGTTTAACCGTCCAAACCATAAACCAAACCACAATGACGGTTTAGGAAATTTCCAAGCGAATTTGGATTTGATTTTTCCCGGATTTCGGAATTGGATCGATTTAGATACACTGCCAATTTAGAAAAAAAAAACTAAAAACATAATGTCTTGAACAAATATTTTTAATCGTATCGTAAAAGTTGTGACTACAACATGAAAACTAAATATGATTAATACATGTGTATTTTTAGCGATCGGTTCGATACAAATCACTAAAAAAACGTTCAAATCGCCGACCAGACCAGACTGAACGATTTGGCTATTTTTCAGACTAGACCAGACCGCCAGAATATATAAACCGCCAAAAATGGTCCAGTTTTACTTGGTTTGAACAGTCCAACAGTTTTTTTTAACACCTCTACCTAGAAGTTTATTGAATGAATTATTTTTTATATTATTAAGTCACTATCAAACAATCATATATAACTGATCGAATAAACTATAACTCTCAAACTCTTAATAAACATACCATAAATATGTTAAGAAAATATCTTAGTAGCTTACTGGGCCGATAGTTAAAACGTAAAATGGGCCACCATGGGCCATTCGCACATTACTCACCCTCTCTTTTAATACTCAAAGGTTAATGCTTTGTTTGGGCTTAATGAATGATAATACAGAAATAAAAGTTAGAATTAAATAATTACTCTATTAGGTGGAGTTTGTTTTTTAAGAGATGTTAAAGTCTGAAGCTTTATTTCATTTTTGATTAATAAAAGGCGGTGTTGAAATCTAAATATGAATCAATAAGGCTGTTTGTTTTTTGTAAACTAATAAATGTTTGAATTTGTTTAAATTGTCTATTTTACTCATTAGAAAAATATTGTGTTGAATTTATAGATAAATTTATACATTTCACATATTTATTCATCGTCATTACGAAATTTACATCTAAATTATTTATCTAAATCATTACGAAATTTACATCTAAATTATTTATCTAAATCATTACGAAATTTACATCTAAAGAGATGAGAATGATAATCAACAACAAATTATCCAGACAAGAATACTAATCAATGATTTCTTTTTCTTTCGGTTTCTGTTTGTTCGAACACAATATAGCCAGAAAATACCCTCACCAACTTTTCTTTCCAATAGGATAATAATGACACCTAATCTCTTAAAAGAGTAAGGAGCCGTTTACTAAACATTTACTTGCTAAGTGTTTACCGGATAAATTTCTTCATCGGATGAACATGAGAAGGGCCAAGAGTCTTATTGGGTAAGAGCGATGAGAAGAAATGAAGATTCTTACTCGGTAAGTGGAGATGACGACTCTTACCCAGATAAACGCTTACCCAGTAAATTATTGCATTCGATATGTTTTGATGTTCTAAATTATTACATATCAAAATAAATGATAGTGTTGATTCATATCAATAAACGCTTACCGAGTAAGCATTTTGGTAAAAGACCCATAATACTGTTTAAGTGTAGATATTTTAACCAATTTTTAAAATAACCCCTCAACTATCATCACTTATCCAAATCAATCCCAAAAATTTATAATCGAAAAACCCGGTTATTTAATACGTTTTTCTGTTTCACGCACTTCCTCTCGAAGTCTTTTTTTAGGGGGCGTTTGAGATTGCTTATTTAAAATAACTTATGTTTTTTTTATAAAAGTCTTTGTCAAGTTATTATAAGTTAGAATAGTTTAACTTATTTAAAAACTTCTTATTACCGATTTGACACCGGTATAAACTATTTATCCAAACACTCAAAAAATATTTATTATCAATATCATATCAAAATAAATCAATAAATTATTTTTATAAACAATCTTAAGCTAACTCCTTAATTTTTCCTTCCTCGTTAACAGAATCCGGCTTTAAAAAGAAAAATCATGATTGAAAAAACAAAACAAATATTTCACCATCATTTTCCATCGACTTCTGGGATTTCTCCGCTTAGATATCTCTTCCCCAAATCTCCCTGCTCCACGCAACATCAACAATGGCCTCGATTCCGCCGCTTCTAGATCCACTTTCCGTTTCTCACGTCCGTTCCGCCACCGTCTTCCACCATCAGATCCCTTGTCTAATCTCATCCCCTCCATCACTTACCTATAGACTTCCATCTCCTTGCATCCTTCCACTTTCTCGTAGACCCACTTTCACCGTCGCCGCAGCAGCTACCTTGACGGGTAACTCCGTACCGGTATACCTTTTTTCTTAATTACTTTGTCAATCTAATTTTGTTTTTATCTCTTTCATGTGTGTATAATCATTAAACGTGTTCGTCCAGTTTTTAATTTGCTTCCGGCATGTAATGGTACAAAATTCAGCATGATTTTTCATTGAGTGCGTGACTACTAGTTTAGAGGTTATCCATAGTGCAAACACCATGCATCTTCCTTGGATCATCTTCAACCCTAGCACCAAAAAGAACACCAATTTTTTTGGAAGGGTGTCCCAGGTTGGGTAAATTGCAACCGTAAGACATCAACCCTTATAAACTCAATGGCGGCAATTATTATGGCTGTCTGGAATTGAACCCAGGGCAAATGGGATATTCCACCACACCCCCTGGCCTCAATCACTACGCCACAAACCCTTGTTGTTAAAAAAAGCAAATTGGTGGTGCTATTAACACCAAAGGTTGCTTCAACTCCAACCACATGGCATATATGTCTTTTCTCTCCCATCTCCGGCATTTTTTTCATTCTTTTTGCCCGTCGGTTGGAGCTTCCTCTCTGGAAAAATGTGGAATTTGCAGGACAGTTGGGGTTGCCGACTTGCCGTTAGCTTTTGAAATGCTGACAACCTCAAAAGGCTTGGTTAGAATGTCAACCACATGGTCTTCTCCCGACCAATGGCTCCTTTCGTAAGATCCCGTAGGAAGTGAATCTCTTATTTTTGGGTCCACTTCTTCCATGTAGGACAACATTCTTAGTTAGCTTAATTGTTGATCCATTATCACAATAAGTAGACTGTAGAAGTAGGTTCTCTTGTTTAAAGTGAAGTTTTGCAAGAATATTTTGCCACCAGATTGTCTGACAAATGCATGCTGCAGCTGAAACAACTTCAGCTTTCTTGTTGACATTAGAGACCTTGGAATTGCTGCTTTTTGCGTCATAAATGCATGACCAAATGTACTTTTTCCGTCATTTGCATCTCCAGTGTAGAAATAACTGTTGTTAATCCAAATAAACTTGATTTTTATGCCATTCTTGTAGAAGAGCCTGTATTTGGCAGTACTTTGCAAGTGGCTAAAATTTCTTTTTTCACCAAGAAGATGTTTTTCTTTAGGATTTTCCATGTATCTACTGAATTTATTCGCAACATGCGTAACATAGCCTTGTGGTGGTTAAATTCATCAAGCTTCCTAGAGTTGTTTGTAAACAGTGCTGCCTTCTTTCTTTACTTCAGGATCTTTGACAAGTTTCATTCTTGTTTCCAGCCAAGAAATGGCGTGTTGATCGTGGGTGATTTTATGACTACGAGAGAGGAGTTACATGTCGTGAAGGCCACAACAACGGTAGACGAAGGTATTGCTGTGTTAATACAACCAAATTTATAGATCATTTCAGCTTCCCAAACACTCCTCTAATTGATTTTCATCCAACAGCTCTGGAAGCTCTTGTAGAACACAGAATAACCGGCTTTCCTGTAATTGACGATGACTGGAAATTGGCAAGTTTTTTTCCTCTTGAGTTTAATGCAAAGTGCTTATAATGCAACTGTATATCACGCTCTATGTATTATATCCGGTGCGTTAAGATATGAATTGCAATGTGGTGCTTTTCATATCTATAAGTTATGGGGGGCCTTTCTTCTGGAATGAAGTTCAGACCCCTAGTAGTTTGGTTGTTGGAGGATTTGGCCGAAGTTTGGTTTTATTTCTTTTCATATTGGTTCAATTATCGAGTACAAAGAATTCAACTGCTGGCCATTCCGCGTATATAAATTGTGGAAGTTAAAGACCATGAGTATTCTAACTTAGAAAACAATATGGCATCGATATATGTCTGTCCAATGGCATTACTAGGTTCTCTTTTGTCAGATGCTAACTTACAAGTTCTGTGTGGTTTTATCACTAATATCATCAGAGTCAAGCTAAGGAGTAAACTGGTTGTGAGAAATTAAGCTGAATTATATCAAGAAGTAAGCTTCAAATTGTAGAAGTCTGACTGAATCTTTATTCAAGTTACCTGATAATCTCATATGCTTTATGCATTCACAAAACAATCTGCCCATATGATGAGCAGGGCAGCGAATGAACACCTGTAAAATTTCTTATGATGTATTCAAAGGTTCATTCGTTCTGCAGGTTGGGCTGGTTTCAGACTATGACTTATTAGCACTGGACTCTGTATCAGGTAAGTCATAACTTGAAATACCAAACATCTTGTGACTCGACTCTTACGGCTGTTAATATTTTTGTTCTCTATGTGGATGTATATTTGAATCTCAGTTATTCCTTTTCATGTTTCCTACTTGAGCCTCTCACATGGTATTGGTGTTAATTTCTTTATTTCATTAGAGGTTTAGGGTCTTTTGGATAGTGTGCATTAGAACTTCACCAGCTCCCTACAAGCTACCCCCGACTTCAAAATGTAGCTCTGTGTGTGTTGCTTGGGTGTCCCCCTCGGAGGGGGGGGGGGAATCTTTGCTTTTCATATATTGTACTATTTAAGTCTATAATTAAATATGTGACTGAATTCACACCCTTTTATGCGTCAACTCTTAATGTTACTACGAATTTCTAAGACTGAAAACAGGAGACATTTTAATGCAGTTTACCCACTATGGCCCTGTGTCCTCTTGCTCTGAAGAGGTCAACACCTACAAAAGGTGGTGTTACATGTCAAATATAATCTAGCAGCAACCAATGTGAGATCATGTGATCACATGGCTGGCTTGTTCCTATTCACAAAATAACACTACCAGGCATCTGTCCCTTATTTCTTTTTCGAAGGAGCACATGCATGGATGCATGATGAAGTTTCATGGTGTGTGCTATTTAAGTACATATCTTGTCAATGTTGAAACCAGTTGTTACTTCCAAACTAGAGATATATTCAAGGACTTAAGGATGTTTGGAGTTTTTTATATGTAATTCATATAGCTGCGACTGACAGATTGCAACTTTAACCACGCAAATATCTGTTGCAAATCAACACTACTATTGTCCCTATTTCACGAGACAAAACAATGAACTATCATGGTGTATGATTTATATAAATATAATTGTGTGAATTGATTGGGCATTGCTGATAGTAGATATGTATCTTGGATCCTTATGTACCCATGGGGTTGAGGAAAATGATTGACTTAAGCAAGTTGTATTAGGATTTGCCTTTCATACTATCCTGTCGTCTTCATATAATTTAATAGTTCTTATTCCTCCCACTTATTTTTTTCCTGCAATAACTGGCGTTTTGAAGATTGAAATATTTCAGTTTTTTTAATTAGGTGCTACTAAAGCTGATACGAGCATGTTCCCAGAGGTAGATAGCACCTGGAAGGTAATTATCAACTATTTACGCTAACGATGCCTTTGTTGGATTGGTGTTGTTTTGTCTTCTCATATCTTCTTTCAATCAGTTCCCTTGTTTACTTGAGTGCCTAGCAGCCTAGGTGAAATTGGAGGTATACGGTCTTTGACTTTCTAGACAGTTGGTTTAGAGATATTCATGTCCCACAACAGCATTCCGGTTGCGTTTGGTATGTGGGGAGAATTGTACAAAAACTTGCTGTCACACATTTGGCATGGCATTAGTCTTGGACAGGATATGACCTGAGTGGGACAAACGTGCATTTTTTTGTCCCTTCAAATTATGTGGAACAAAAATCAGGGAGATGAAACAAGGCTGGTAAATTACTAAACTACCTATGCCAAGTTAAAACCCTAAGGCTGTGTTCTCGAATTTGGGGAGAAAATAATAGAAAAGAAATGGAAGGAAAAGGAAGGAAAGGAAAAGAATTATCTTATTTGTGTTCTCGAAAGGGAAGGAAAAAGAAGGAAAGGAAAAGAAAGATTTTTTTTCATGTTCTTAAAACAAGAGAGAGGAAAGGAAAGGAAAGGAAAGGAAAGATGTTCATTTAACTAATATATCCTTTAAAAATATATCATTTAGAATGAAAGATTGAGTAGTTTTGTAATTTTAATAATTTTCTGAAAGGTTTTAGTTTCTTTCCTTTCCTTGCCTTACCTCACACATTTGGGAGGAAACTTCTCATTATTTTCCTTCCCTTTCCTTTCTCTCCTAAAGAAGGTTCAAGAACACGAGTTTTTTTTACTTTCCTCCTCTTTCGCTCCCTTTCTTTTCCTTCGTAAAAAAGGTTTCGAGAACACAGCGTAAAACCTTCCACAATTCTTTCACCCGCCTACCTAACTCTTGCCTGTCCAGTTCTTCCAGTCCAGATGTACGAGTTGTGGACTTTCTTAGCAACTGACGTTGATCCCTTTCCGGACAATTTATATCCATTCTCATTTTCTTGGGGAAGTGCTTTTGTGTAGGACTAAATAGTAAATAACACCTCCTATGCTGTAGATGCTGCAGCAAAAAGTAAAATTGTCAAACAACAAATGGCTAGTTTTTCTTCATGTCTGCTACTAATATACTGAACGAATTGATGTTTTAAAGTTTTCCAGTGAATTGATTCACATAAAACCAAATAAGGTCCAGAAGTGAGAAAGCTCTTCAGAGAGTTTAATCGCATGGCCATTTAGATCCAGCAGCTTGTTGAAGAGTTTTTTTATATCTGCATCTATTGCATGCCATATCTAATCCAAGTGATGATTGCAGACATTCAACGAGGTACAAAAGTTGCTTAGTAAAACGGATGGAAAGCTGGTTGGTGATTTAATGACACCTGCACCTTTAGTAGTTCGTGAAAATACTAATCTTGAGGATGCTGCCAGGTTTGGTCAACCTTTCTCCGTTTTTCCTGTTTCAATCCTGTCGTTGTTATTCTGTATCATGGCAAAGATATGCCTGTTTTCTAAGATAAAAGCCGACTTATAGAAGAATTCTATGATGTCAGATTGTTGCTTGAAACCAAATATCGCCGCCTTCCTGTTGTAGATGGTCAGGGAAAGCTGGTAAGAGCCTTACTCAGGAGATCTTATTGAAGTATATCATATTTATGTATGGCAAAACTCACACACACTCCTTACCTTGAACCTTGATCTCGAAGGAGGTTGGGATCTACCAATAACCCGGATACTGCTGGGTAGAGATGCTAAAGAACCCAAGCCCAAAGCCTGGCCTGAAAAGTCTAGGCCTAGTAAGCCCAAGCCCAAGCCTAAGCCTGGCCGTAAAGTCTGACCATTCCAAGTCTTTTAAGGCACAGTTAAAGCCCAGCCTGGAAAAAGCCGAGTGGTCCTCTTTCAACCCCAAAGCCTGCCCCGGCCCCAAACTGGGCCTTCCTTTTGCTTACTGAAAAACAGGCTTAGGCCCGGAAAAGCCTGGGCCTTGTGCATTCTTTGGTTACTCGAAAGATTTTTGGTAGTCATTTATCTCCTTAATCACTGTTGCTTCTACTTGCATATGAAGGTTGGAATTATTACAAGAGGAAATGTCGTAAGAGCCGCCCTACAAATAAAAAAGGCTGGCGAAACGCAAACATAAGATTTGGAGGAAGTGTACGCAGCCTGGCTTGGTGATTTGAATGCACGTAGCAATGAAATTAGTCACAAAAATTTTGGTAATCCCCAGTCTCCCACTAAAAACTATTCGTTAAGGTCTAAGTTTTGATATTCTTTCATGCTTGTATATGATCTGTAGATCTATTATAATATCCAATGAAAACCTAAGTTAGCTACTGCACTACTTGAATTCATTTGGTAGAACAGATTCAAATAGATATAGTTTATGCCTGAGAGGAAGAGACTGTTACCCCTCTTGACACTTAAGGAGACATAAGTTGCCACAAATGGATCATGTAGGGCCCAATATATCCCACCTGGTGGGTGGGGATAAGATGTATGCATACCTAAGTTGTGTACCCTAAAGAAATAAGCTGCCATAAATGGATATCTTTTGAAATCAAAGGCCAATGGTCACCAGTATTGAGGCATCCCCCTTTCTTATAATGATGGAAGGGCAAGCATCTAAACACAATAGGAGACTCGGCGCATTGAAATGCTTTATTACGGTTTTTTTTGAAGTATATAATATTTATATACGGCAAACAGAACAAATAAACTCAACTCACACACCCTCCTTACCGCTAGATTTGAACCCCTGACTTCCTAGGAGGTCAAAGACTTACATACCGCTAGGCCAAAGGCCTTTTGTTTTTTTATCACAGTCTTAGTGGTCCTTAATGGATCATTTTGGTATAAGTGGGTATAATGGGTCTTATTTTTCTTAAGGAGTCTAAGTGGGTCATAACGTGTCTAATTAGACCTAAATGGATCTAATTGAGGTATAACAGGTCTTAGTGGTCCTTAATGGGTCATTTTCATATAAGTGGGCATGATGGGTTAACGAGTCTAAGTGGGTTCATAACGGGTCTAATTAGACATCAAGGTTATCGTCCTTGCGAAAATGTTCAAGAACTTGAAAACCATGTGTTTGAGGTCACTTGTTGGTTCGAGTTGGAACACCCAGAGGTTTAGTGTGGTAGGAGAAAGTTCATTATAAACAGTGAAAAAACCAACTATTCGTAATGAATATATCTACATATTCATAAATATTATTTCTCATGAATACATTCTTTTTTTCATTATTCATGATATTCATTATGAATAGTGGTTTCTTACAGGTTTCAAATGAATCTGTATCTAGTATGGTAGGTTATAATTACTCAAGTTGGTAAGAAGGAAATGAGGTGACGTTCAGAAGTACCAAAACCTAATGGCTATTGTATTGAATGAAGACCAAATTATTCCAAGCAAGAAGTGTCATTCATTATAACTCCATGAAGATGGTAGGGCCAACCTTCCTCAATCCCACATGTCATGTACCTTTTCAAAAACATTTTTATTCCATAAGTTCAATTCATCTACATTTCTCTCGATTGACGACTTCGTAACAGTAGAGACGGGGGTTTTAGTTAACCAATCGGTCCATAACCCTTTCCAATCTCCAAAAGCTTTTAATTGGTCTAAACGTAGGCGGTCCTGATCTGGGCTAGTCTCCGGGAGAAAATACTAGACCTTGTCATAACTAATTAATTGGTCCACCTAATTGGCCTGTTTTCCTTTAATAATATTATCGCCTTGCCAATGTGGGGTAATCCCATGTCTATTTCAAATACACCAGATCCTAAATGATGATGGATGGTCATTAATCATGGAAATGGGGCGGGTATTGGATAGGTAACACATCCTTCGTCCCTGACCCCGACCCCTGTTTAAGCCCCCTACCTTGCCCCAACTAATCCCTGAGGGGTTTGGGGGGATGGAATCCCCGGTGGGTACGGGGAACCCATTGGGTATCTGTTTAGTAAAAATCAAAGTATTCAAAGTTAGAATTGTAATGTTACCAATATTGAAAATCAAATATATTTGTTCTTTAATAATATATACATACATATATATAGAATTGAGATCATGTGAGACCAAGAGTTTTTCGTGAGACCCGTAAGACCAATTCTCAACTCTTGGATTAGATCTATAATATGACAATCTGAATATTCATAAATGCCACGAAACTTCTTAATAATCATAAAATTGTCACCGTGCAACTTTAGACCATTAGATCATTAATTTATAAAGTTGATCAATGAATATAAATTGGTCTTACGGGTTTCATGAAAAACCCTTGGTCTCACGTGAACCCAACCTCATACATATATATTTATCTATATACACTATATCTAAATATATTAAATGTAATAAAAAATTTAATCAACGTTTGAAAAGGGTGGGTAATGTAATCCTGACCTTGCTTCGAGACGGAAATAAATCTCCGTCCCCGCCTACTTGCCAAAGCGGGAATTCCCCTCCCGGTAGGGTCGTGGTACCCGCCCCTACGGTTCAAAGTTGACAAAATTTCATACTTGGGGTCGGACTCAAATATCACATGATGATAACCCATTGATTGCTCCGAACATATGACTTCGACCAAAGCCACAACTTCACGTTCCTTGATTTTTTGGCATCCGTTGATCGAACCATTTTACAAGCGATTAAAGCGTGATCTTCGTTCCTCAAGGCAACTCCTGATCCCACTCTTCCACTTTCTTGAACGCAATTACCGCATCACAATTGCATTTCACGAAAGGTGCCGGTGGAGGATGCCATTTTTTGCGTACTGGGGATGTTTCCTCTATCGTTCGTCTACCGTGCTCATTCCATGTTCTAGTCGGTTCACCAAATCTTCTCAATCGAGCAGGAAAACCATATCCGGTGACCTCGATTGATTTTTATAGCATTACAAGTAACCGTTTTCTTAAACGTCAACTATATATTTGATGTTTTTTGGGTATTATATATTACTATAATTGAAGTGTTGTTATATATAACTATTTCACGTTCGGTCCCTGTAACTGGTCCATAACGACTACTTGACAATTCCCATTATTATTCAGGACCCGACCGGTCCCAAACAATCCTTAACCGGACCGTCCCCATTAATCAGATAAAGATATCCATCTCTAGATAACAGTACGAATTTGTGTAATTTAAGACGATGTTTTCAATCATGGATTGAAAAAAATAACGTTCATCATGCAACATGTGATGTTGAGACCGAGGAATCACGCACAATATGAAAAAAAAAACCGAAACAAATTATGAAAGTTTCATTCGAGATTAGAAGTTAACAAAATCCCACTTGAAAATTTTCCAAAATATACTTAAAATTTTGCCATAATAAATTCAAAATATTGAACAAATGTGTGTTTCGTCTAGATCAGCTTGCATGTACCTCGATTAATTCCAGGGAACTTGAAGAACTGACAGAAAAATTCCTAGTGGTCTTGTAGGACTCGAACCAGTGACCTTTGAGGAGCATCGTTAAAGATTCCAGACTTGTTGCCAGGAGAATCCCCGGTTGCTTGTGCTTATTTTGGTCATAAATTCCAAATTTGGTATTGTTGTCAATCTTCTCATTCCTCTTTCGTGTTGTATTTGCTTTTGATTTGTTCTCGTTTTAGAAAAAACTTCCTTTTTTCCGCATTTTATTTTATCCCAATACCTGTTCCGTCTTAAAATTCTTAATTTAATTCGGTACAATAATAGTCTCTTGAGATGGTTGTCAATTCGATCGTAGGTTTAATCAAAGTTTTAAATAGCGGGTACGCCGTGACATAGCTGACAAGTCAATTTTCAAGCCAGTAGGAGATACGGTGAGGCCACAACATTTATCAATAGATGACTTATCATGGCATATTTGTGTGTATATATATATATACACACACACACGTTTTTTTACGAATGAATCAATGATATTCAGTAATTAAAACTTGGTCATATACTAAAGCATAAAAAGTAAGTCACTAAAATAGTAAGAAAAACAAATATTACGTTACAAAAAACAGAGATCAAGCTATAACGTCCCACGGTCTTAACGTCAAACACGAGCATTAAGCAATAGAGTCATCACGGTTGTTGTGGCAGGGTTTTTTTTTTTATTAACCTGGATATCCAACCCGCTATGTGAGCCGACTAATCCCAGGGAGACCACCTGCTTTGCAGATTGTTCGGAGTCACCACATTTGAACCTCCGTGGCCAAAAAGGGATTTTTATTCCTCATTGGATTTGAACATGTGACCTCCTGGTATTTTTGATCTTTGGAGTCAAGCTCAAATTAATCATGTACCACCCTTGTGGTTGTGGCAGGCTTTTTAGAACACCAATTTCGATAAATGGTCATCCAGAAAGTCGTAAATTTTGACATGAAACTTTCTATGCTGATGTCGATCAAGTCATCTACAAGATTTTAGTTTTTCAAATAATCAATGTTATTAAGTTATGATAGTTTTTAATTAAATAAACGAGTCGAGGATGGAAAAGTCTAGGGGCGGAGCGTGCTTTGGCCCAGGGGCCTCACTGACGCCCCCACACTTGCAAAATTATATTTATTTGAATAAAACCCAAATTTGTTTAGTCTTTAATTTCTTTCACGATCGACTCGTAGAAGTTATCAAGACCCAACCAAAGGCCCTGCATTTTCTTTACTGAACCTTGCAATGAATATGATTTCATAATATATATATATATATATATATATATATATATATATATATATTTGGGATCATGTGAGACCAAAGGTTTTTCGTGACACCTGTAAGACCAATTCTTAACCCTTGGATTAAATCTACAATATAAATATTCATAATCACAAAATTGCCACGACACTTCTCAATAATTGCCACCGTGCAACTTTAGACTATTAGATCATTAGCTTATAAAGTTGATCAATGAACATAAATTGGTCTTACGGGTCTCACGAAAAACCTTTGGTCTCACGTGAACCCAACCCTATATATATATATATATATATATATATATTGAGAGAGAGAGAGAGAGAGAGGAGAGTTACTTTGCAAACCATGTTATTTGTACAAACCGTACAAACCGCATTCAACCAATTATAATTTTTCATTTTGTTGATTTTTTTTTTTGTAATTATGAGAGGTTGATTAATCATTTTTATTGTGGAGTGTGTTAATCATGAATATTATCATCTTCATTATATTAATTTTAAAGAAATACATGAAACAGTTTTATTAAAATTTCATAAGTATTATATGAAACAATTTTATAACCATATATGAAACAACTTCATAAAAAAATATTATATGAAACAATTTCATAAGATTAAACAATTCCATAATTTTTTTTCATAAGATTAAACAATAAAATCAACGAATAAGGGTGGTTTGCACAGTTTGCACAAATAACATGGTTTGCATTTGATCGCTCCTCTCTCTCTCTCTCTATATATATAACCTTGTAATTTTTACGAACCATATAAATCAGTCTTAAATGTTCATTTAATCTAATAAATATCTAGTTCCATAAATACATCGACTGTGTCTTAATTTAAAGCCATGAATGAATGAACTTTATCATTTTCATAAATATCTCAATCATAATGAATGGATCATGATTGTATCCATAAATATCTTTATGGTTTGTATTTGAGAAATAAAAAATGTATGAAAAGTAGAAAAGTGATCCTAGCACTTTGATCAAATCATCAAATAATCATTTTTTAAAAGGGTAATATGGTAAATAGAAAAAAGAGGCAACGATAATCACTATATCGTCATTGTTGACGACAACAATGGAAGTCTAGTTGGCGATATACGATCTCGATTTTGTTAATGATTATATCCTGACTTCTCTCAATTCTTTCTCAATCATATATTACAATTCTAGGTTATCAAATTTCTTAATTCTTTCTTGATCGAATCTTGTATTTTTTTCAATATGAATCTGAATCCAGAAAACGATCTTGACCAAGATGTTGATTTTGATCCAAAAACTATAACGCTATATGTGAATTAGTTAAATAGTTTATATGTGAATTACAAGAGTTCATATGTGAATCACACGAGTTCACACATGCACATATAATTCGTGTGTGAATCACATGAATTCACATATGCCATATATTTCATGCATGAATCACACAAGTTCACACATGCACTTGTTTGCCCGTCTATTTGTAAAAGGTATAAAACTACCTTTTTTATCTTCCACATAGTTGTTACCATGCGACCAAATTATCCGATGCTACACAATCAACCCTTCAAATCTTGACCGCTAAATTTTTAATTGAAGAGCTAGGATCACTTATGTGTTTCTCATACATTTATCACTTCTCAAATGAACCTATGACTATATATATTTGCTTTATTAAACAGGGCTAACCCTTGACAAAATTCCTGCCTCCGTCATTGGAGAAGTCGATAGAGGTTTACATGTTTGTATTGGAATGACTATTACAAATATTACATGCACGTGTTGATCTCCTGTTTAGAGTAAAACAGGAAGTCGACAACGATGGTTTAATGCTCGGAATCCAACTTCGATAAGCATTCAAAAGATGAT